AAATAAAGGCGTTAATTATAATTAAATTTAATAATTTTTTAAGGGCATAATAATAGTTATGATAATCCTATACTTAATGACACCCTCTACCAATCAAACACGCCTTCATGCGAGTCTTTGATTTAGTACATCCATTGAAGAACCCTTTTTTCACAAGTTCTAATCAACTCATGAAAATCAATAAAAAAATTTAACTGTAAAACAAGGAACTGTTTTTATTTTTTTTATTAGTTCATTTGAATAGTTCAAAGTCAATCTTAAATATTCAGTTAATAATTAGGAGCAACCCTTCAAAATCATTTAATCAGATCCTTCAATTATGTATACTGTTGCTAATCTAGTACGTCTAGTTCAAATTATTTTGATTGAGATGCTCGTAGATATCGTTGAGACAGTAAGTTTCTCAAAAATAAGAAATAAATAAAGTTCACAGAAAAATAAATAGACATATAAATAAAATACTAAATATCATCTCCATATCAACAAAATGTGAAATATATAGATCACCATATTAAACTGGAAAATAATTATTAATGAAATGACTTTCTTTCCCTTTATTAGTTTACAAAAAGTGGTACGATTATCACCAATAATATGATTACATATTTTACGTCATAGCAAGAATTGTGATTGTATAATTCTCTTATACATAGTTGGGTAAGTAGTAGCATGCCTTTTTTTTTTTATTGCAAATGAAACTTTGGATGATCACGTGATATGGCTAAATCAATGTGTGTGTGTGTGTGTCTATATATATATATATATATGTGTGTGTGTGTGTGTGTGTGTGTGTGTGTGTGTGTGTGTGTGTGTGTGTGTGTGTGTGTGTGTTGTGTGTGTGTGTGTGATTGTACGATGTAATATAATTAATCTAATTACGATGTAAATTATTCAACCCGATAACTTTAACTCGACTAAAAGTTTGATAGAGCTTCAATCAGACATCCCGTCCTACTCAAGTATTGGTTACATCATACGTTAAAATTTGAAATACGTAAGACTATATAACAGTTTCTAGACCAAGATCACAATTATCTTTTTTTTAATATTATTTATAGCATAGTTGTTTTCTTTTCCATTTTATGATAAATGAAACGTGTCATGTTATATACATGGAAATCATTATAATGGAGACTATTTTGGAGAGAAATTGTCAAATTCCATGATAAATGAGATTAAAAATAGAAATTAAAAAAAAATGTTTATCTAATCTTCGTCGTGGTTTGCTATGCCCTAGAAGCACATGTACATTCAAAACCACGTTTAATTTATAAAAATTTTACATGATATTCATATCTAGATAAAGATAGAAATGTTGGTGTTTTTCATCCAAACAAGGACGATAAAAAAACCAAAAAACAAAAAAAAAAATTTACAAAATCATTATATTGTGTTCCAAGAAAAAAAAATTATGAAAGACTTTTGGAAAAAGATATGCCAAAGTTTCTTGCTCGAAAATAATAAGAAACTAGTTGTAGTGCACATATAATGGAATCAACAGCATGTGCTTATAACGTGAAGTCTTACAATATTAACAAGTTTTAGATTTGCCAAACAAGAGTTTGTTTACTAGCCATAATGCATCATTTGCTAACAACACCCTATTGGTAACCATATGTGTTTTCCGAGTTTCATGATGGAGTTGGAGGTTTTTACTATTTGAATAAAATGAATTATTACTCTACTCGCCTATGAACTAGTTGAGATTATAGAGTTTGGAGTTCTGATTCAACCCAAATTAATTTTATAGCATACCTAAGTCACAACTTTATTTGTGATCATGTAACATCTTTGTTTATCTTTCATGTGTTGTACTAATATTCTAAATTACATTTTATACGTAAAAAACTTTTAGATAATGTTGCTCCTTGAATCCATTACAAGTAGAGCAAAGTTACTGTTTATATATACATGACCATACAAAGGTGAACCATCGTATGGTACTACATGCTTTATATATAGTTTCATACATAGAATTTTTAAACTCTTACAAGCCCGACGATATTAACTGTACCTTTACATTTTCTTTAAATTAATAACGAATTGTTGAGTTTGTGACATAACAGATAGGGAATATCCCGTCGAGGATACTACTATGGTTGTGGAAGAAAGCACAACCTAACATTGTCATTATAACTTTTATTTCCTTCATTTTGTGTCAAACCATTCAAACCATTGTTACATTGTAGAACTTGGGGTTATAGAGGATTTCTTAAAGTGCAAGTACTCAAAGAGGTTTTGTTAGGGATCAATTTTGTTGCTTTAGATTAAATTAATTCATTGAGTTTGAACTTTTCTTATTTACCAATGTGTAGCAAAAAGAATGTCAAGAAAAAAAAAATACTATTCCAAAGTATTGATGAGTGATATTATTTATCCTATCTCTCCCATATATACGATTATAAGAGGGTGGCAATTTCTTAACTTGCTAGCTAGATTTTTTTTTTTTCTTTCCTTCTACTTTACCAATTTTAAAAGTCCATTACTTCTCCACAAAAAAAAAGAGAAAAGAAATGCCAATCCAGTTGGACCGTATGCATCGACAGAACCCTCATTGAAACAACATATACAAATATATATATATATATATATATATATATATATATATATATCCTACTATGTTAGAAACAAAAACCTCCCTTTCAAACACCTCATTTGATTGCCACGTGGCATGTAGAAAGTACTAAATTGCCTTTTTGTCTAACCATAACTAAATTACTAAATTTCCCTTTCCACTTTACGTGACACATTTTTTTTATTTTATTTTTTCTTTATGTTTCATTCAACTAGAGTAGTTTTTTAAATTGAATTGATCAATTAGGTTTTTGTTACAAAGTGTCAACTTTGTTTTAAGCGTATACCCTTCGGATGAAACTTATTACAAAACTATTAAAAATCTCCAAAACTAAGTATTGATTCGGCACGACCAATGGAGAACATCAATAAATCATCTTACCAATATTTAAATTTATTAGGATGCTTTTATATTTTATTTAACATTTACTTCAACACATTTATTCAATTAAGCTATTTATATTTAATAAGTAACACTTATAAAATATTTCTTAAATATACATGGTGAAATATAATTTCTTTTTTTTTTTTGTGTGAAATACAAATATTTCTATGATCACACTTATAAAACATTTCTAAATCCTTCAAACATTTCTAAAATATATCACTACAAATACAAAATTTAATTTTTTTTCAAATATAAATATTTCTAAGATCTACAGATAGACTGGGCCAGGGTCGCGCATTGCGTGACCAGACATCACTAGTATATATATATATATATATATATATATATATATATATATAGATAACATGCAAAGAAAAAATTGGACCTATAATATATCTAGTCGTTTCAATGCCTTCCCAAGTAATCTAATTACAGATGACAAGATATATCCTTTGAAATCATCCTCTCTTTGTACATAAAAACATGCATTAATATTAGTATCAAAAAGTGTTCCTACAGCAAATTTATCTAAAAACAAGTAAGAAAAAATTTGATTTTAAAGATTAATGATTTTAGTTAACGTTAAAAATAGATAGGCCCCTTAAATAAAAGATTTCTTCTAAAAAAATTTGGAGTTCATAAGTTGAAAATGAATAGTTTTATACATTTGAATTTCTACATAATAATTCTACATAAACTTTTCGTTAAATTGTAAATTATTTCAGTCGGAAAACACTACAAATGTGTAAAGTATTACCTTCAAAAGAATTATAGATTATTTATTTGAATTGTTTGGGTTAACAATTTAGACTATTGGGCGATAGGCAATAGAATGAAAAATTAACACATATACCCCTAGCTTAAATTATCTATTCCTCTATTGATACTTTCTATTTCATGATTGTTAATTATCAAGCGAGTAATCACTCAGATGTAAGACCAAATTCCAAAATATAATATGGTCAATGTGAATAAATAGATCGCAATAATGTACTAATTCAGTGCCAGAATGCATACCACCAAAGGGAAATAAAATTTCAATTTTGTCTCAAAAACATAAAAATATTACAGGTCAACATAAATGAATTTTTTTCTCTTCTTCGTGTATGGAACTTGCCAGCTTGGATACAGAATAGTCAACCGTTCACAACCTTACAGTTGATAAAAATTTGAACCAAAGAAAAAATCTGTAAATTTAGAAATATTTGATTCTCTTACTTAAGGTACGTACTAAAAAATTATATCAGCAACTGAAAGAACTAGAACAAGGAAAAAAATCTATAATTTGGGTAGTGAGTATTCAGATATTAATTTTAATAATTTTCAATCATTTTTTTTCTATAGTTATAAGTACGTTGTATTTGAATTTGGACTTGATATCTATGCTTAAAGTCTAAAATGATTACTGAAAAACTTTATGTTTCCTTGAAACTACAATTTTCATTTGAAAAGTATATATTCACTAAATTTTGTAACATATTTAGATGTTAATCTCTTCAAAGATTTCTCAAAAGTAATCATAATCGTGATTGTTTTCTTTTTCAGTAATTTAAAAATGATATCCTTTTCACTATAAATACAATCATATCATATCTTTCAGCATTAATATATTATTTTACATATTGTAATTCCTACAATAGATTTTTACTCTAAAACGGCATGTGCAGAATATATTTCATATTTATAGCTTGTAATGTAATTTAGTAGGCAAATTTTTTTCAAATTGTTTGCAAAAACTAATAAAAATAGTGGTGTTTGTTGACTTATTTTGGCTAACTAATGGGTATGCAGCAATACAAAATGAACAAGATGAATTGAGAGATTATGGTCACAATTTCTTCTGTTTAATAAAATTAATGTAGATCTAACACAAAAGTTCCCAAAAACTTTTTATAGATGAACTTAACACAACAGAACAACACCAAAGATAGACTCTAAAGGAAATACATGAAAATGCAACCATAAAAAACAACAAAATTCAAGGTTAAAATCAACCTTGAATGGAAATGGAAAGAAAAAATATTAAGAAAAACCCTAATTAAGGAACGCCGCCACTACCAAAGCCTGATCCACCAGCTCCATTGTTATTCATCATGTTGAAATAGTTTGAATCGAAACCACCAGCATTTATATGGCTTGATCCAGCACCGTCACCATTACCACCATAGCTAGGTCCAGCCCCATCATTAAAACCACCACTAAAACCACCACCACCACCAACAAGGTTGTTATGGTAATCAACATTGAGTGGTGGTGGTATCATCTGCTGATAAAAAGGGTCGTTGTAAGGCCACCCGAGATCATACAAACCATAATTCTGCACCTGATTATAGGGAAGATATCCATCATTACTCATCGGCATCATTCCAGTCATTGCCGGAGGTGGAGGAGCCATCACCATGGAAGAAGAACCAGCAACACCATCCATTTGAGGATCCATCAACATCGCCATCATGCTTATTTCCGCCGGTGGAGCAGGAATAGGGGCAGGCGGAGCAGGAATAGGGGCAACAGGAGAAGGAATAGGGGCAGGAAAAGCAGGAATAGGGGCAGGGAGAGCAGGAATAAGGGCAGGAGGAGGAACATTATCACCACCTTGAGGAAGCCCACCAGCATCATCAGCAGCGGCACCACCCTCGCCATTACCATCCTGCTTCTTGAGAACCGCCAGCCTCCGAGTGATCTCCGCCACGTTTCGCTTAAGGATAAAGCCCACATCATTGCAATCATGAGATTTGAGGCTCTCCGGGTTGTTTTCGCCACTCAAACACTGATCAATAAACAAACGGATCTCCGTTTCTCGACTGTCCCTCATGATTTTCTGAATCTGTTCTTTGGTCTTTTCAATCCTCTGTCGAGTGAAAATTTCTTGGTCAACCATCCTTTTTCCTTTCTCTGACGCGGGTACTGCCTTAAACCTTGCCAGGACTTGATTCAAGGCGGTGGGATCCTCCGGCCAAACCTCCGGCTTCTCATCGTACGGCCCATAAAGCACGGCGGCGGCATCTATCCCACAAAGGGTACTTAATTCTTTGACTTTCTTCATCAACCCTCTTTTCCTTTTCTTGTAAGAAGCTTTTCGATCTGAAGGGTTAACAATGTAAGCAAGCCTCACTTTTCTCCTAGTCATGGCTGTTTTTTGAAAGCACAGGATTTTTTTTCCTTAGAAATGGAGATATGTTTGAGAATTTGTTGTGGTCTGATGATGCTTATTTATAATGAAAAATCATGAACAGGGAGATAGTGGGAAAAGGGTGGGGACTGAGGTGGTGAAAATAAATCCACGTCAGAGGAATTAATGGCAATAGATTCTTAGTTTGAATGATTTGTCGTTTATTTGGACACAAAGTAAATTTTTTGTTGAACCACATAGTCAATGGCTTTATGCGCTACAGCGGTGATAATTATCTCATCCAATTTCTTTGTTTTGCAAACTTCTTTTTTTTTTTAATTTTTGAGATAAAGGTTGATTCAATTCATTAAATGAAAAAAAAAAGATATTTGTCCAAAAAAGTCATATTTATCATACTATTTAGCTTAATAAGTACTGCCTTCATTTTAAAATGAATATCCTTCTAGAAATTTTATTAACACCGAAAAATATTAAATAAGGTGGTTAAAATACAAATTCAACCTTATTGAATATCAATGCCACTCATCGTAATACCAATAAAGTTTGAATTAAAAGAAGTTTTGATGTCTAATGCTAGGGTAATGTTAGAAACAATGAACAAACGATGTATCGATTTGGTAAAATGACATATATCTTGAAATTGTTTTGCTCAAAATGGATGGAGTTATAATCTTGACTAAGATTATTTGAATTTTTTTTTTTTTGAGAATTTTCATTTACGTTAAAATAAAATTACAAAATTATGGTATAACATAGCGTACAAATAAGTATTTGTACATTGAAACTTACTAACATGTTACATTCCAATTCCAATCAATTCTCCAAATTTTACACACAACTCTAGCCTGTACGAAATCTCAAATAAAAATTTTTGTTAAATGTATCCGAAGGAGTGGGTTTGCCTATGGAACTCGAAATATATTTGACAATGCCCTCTACAATTTGTTTATACTCATTTATGCTAGTTTAACTGTTATTAGGGGTGTCAGTATCCGACATGATAACCCAATTTACATAGATGACATGGTGTGATTAACCCGAATTAAATTTTTGTTACATTTGTGTCCCAATCAATTTTGTGAAATATGTGAAATACATTACTCAAATTGAACTCATAACTAATATAGACCCTACTTGTCATAACGGATCCGTCTAATTATACAATTATTTTTGTTTTAAGCATTTAGCGAAGGCATTTGGACACGGTTCAAGAATGATATTGTTTCTCATAGTTTGAATTTTTTTTTTTTTTTTTTGGCATTGATAATACCTTATATGCTAGGACATTGAATTCAACAATTCCTAAATTAATTGATCCAACTTAGATGATACAGTCAACTTTTCAAACATTGTCTCTCACTCTAGTCTCCATTTGACTTATTTTTAAACTCGAGAAATGCTTTGTTTTTGTTAACATTTTCTATATATTTAGTACTATTAAAACTTTACAAATTTAGATGTACAAAAGTATTGAACAAGAAAAGAGAACTTAATGAATTCGATAAAAGTGACTTACCGTAAATAAGTTTTTTGAAGGTCCAGCAATTTTTTACCTTTATATCATTGATCTAGATTGTATTTCATACTTAATTGTACTTATATTTTAGAAAATGGTATCTTGTTTGTTTAACGCCCAATCAAAAGAAAAAGAAAATCCAAACTACCATTTTTCCCTTTAATCAGATGCTTTCAATTTTAAGAAAATTAAGTTTCCTCCTCATTGTTTTCTATGGATGGAAATTTCAAGAGAAACCAGGGCCATTGTTTAATTTCCAAAATCTTTTGAAAATCAAATTAATTTTGTTGGAAAAAAATAGTAGTATAAAGAATATCCAAAACATAAGAAAGAGTATCTCTATAATAATAGATTAGATGTTAGACCCGTGCGATGCACGGGGTTTATTTATATACATTTACATACAAAATAAAAAATTACAAATTGGAAGTATTCTATATATTGCACATTTGCATAGGAAAAAAAACGTAACAATAGAATAATTATTAGTGTATTAAAAATAAATAATGCTATGCCATATAATTAAGAACACATAGATTTGATGATATATATTCGGGAAGAAAAATTTTAAGGAAATTGGAAAAGGAAAAGGAATTTATTCAAAAATCAAAAAACAAATTACAAACATCTCAGTTTCATCCAATTGTTTTGTTAAAACAATTATTCACACAACATGATAAAATGACTTAAAGGACTTAAATTAATTTTTTTAACGAACATAAAGGACTTATTCACAAATTGTCTTGTTGGATTGTAGCTTATGCGTCACTTTAAGAATGACACTCAATTCCTCTACATAGTTTTTTCACTTATATAATAAACTATAGATTACTTAATGTGTGGCACAAGATAATTCAACAAATAAATTTTGTACTTCAAGTTTAAAATTATGAGCATTAAGTATACTATTTATTGAGAATCATTTCATATGGTGCTTGATAATTTGCAATGAATCATATACTTAAATTTAAAATAAGATGTATGGGAAGGAAATTATTTCAAAATAATCATGTTTAAATCAAGTCGTATATATGGTAATTGCGGATAATAATGTAGTTTTGTGTTTATATCATTCACCGCTTTACGAAATCAATCTAGAAATAAAGTAAATAAAAATATTAAGAAGTAAAAAAATCAAATTTGAAAAATAGCATTATAATAATCAATCTTTAATTGATACTTCGAAAAATCAAAGCGGCGCAGCGGAAGCGTGGTGAGCCCATAACCCTCCAGTCCCAGGATTGAAACCTAGTTTTGATACTTTTATCCATACATACTTTACATTTTCGGTTTTCCTGAAGGAAAAAAAAACTATTCATACTTTTATACTACTTGTTTTTCGAAAATGGAGTTCATAGATAAGTTTACATTTTATTACTATTTTATTTCTTACATTACACATTTTTCTAATAAAAAATGGTTACTTTACTTGTTTCATAAAATAAGTTAAAGGAAAGATTTATCCATACATACTTACATTTTCCGGAAGAAAAAAACTATTCATATTTTTATACTACTAGTTTTTCGAAAAAGGAGTTCATAAATAAGTTTACATTTTATAGCTGTTTTATTTTATACATTGCACATTTTTCTGAGGAAAAAAACGGTTGCTTTACATGTTTCATAAAATAAGTAAAGGAAGAAAAAAAAAACTATTTGTATTCTTATACTACTTGTTTTTCGAAAGAGGAGTTCATGAGTAAGTTTACATTTTATTGCTATTTTATTTTATACATTACACATTTTTCTGAGATTACGTGTTTCATAAAATAAGTTAAAGGAAGATTTAGGAATTTGATGTCCAAAACTCTCTTAACGAAGCATTTTACGAACTATGAAGTACAAAACAAGAAGCAAGTTGTTAGAAGATAATTATATATATATAGTTTAATTATAGGAAAAATTTAGATAAAGGGCGGTGGAGGACAAATAATTAATAAAGACTTAAAGACGACACTACTTTCGAATAAATTGTATTAGGGGCATAACAATTCAGCCATACAAACATGGCTTTACATATAAAAAAACTTATTAATATTAATTTAATTACTTTAGAAGTTTATTAATTTATTTTTTCATAAGCCTGATTAGCATAAGACTACTGAAGTAGTTATTGATTAAAAAAACTTAAACATAATAAATTTTTATATTATTATATTTTAAATTTTTTACTAATATAAAATATATGGTATTAATTTTTTTGAAGAACTAAATTTATTTTAAGTGTTGTAAAATATCTTGTACGACTCATTTAAATATAAGGTTTTGGGAAAAAGAATTTAGAAAATTTTGATTCATGTGAACGCAAATAATCATTTACTTTGATAAAATTGACATTATATGGAAAAAATAAAACCACTTAATAAAAATCAGGAAATATTAATCTTTATTTTTAAATTCAACATATTTATATTATTTTCATATTAGTATTGAAATATTATCATACATACACTTTGGAAACAGATTTTAATTTATGTGTTAAAATCAAATGAAAGAAAAAAATAAAGACCTGATTTCAAGAGTTAAAGTCATGTTTGGATTATTGAATGATTATGCCCTTAATACAAATTATCCTAGAGTGTTGCCCTCTTCTTTTTTTTTTTTTTTTTTTGGTAAACATGTAAATATATTGATAAAGATAACCAAAAGGATTGCATATTTACACACCAAAACACCTCTATTACATTGCTCTATCTACTTCTTTTAACCTGTACAACTATATGCTAAACAACTCAGTCTGAAAATCAGCATCCAGTGCTGTTCTTTTAGGCCCTGTACTGTATTCTATCCTCCATCTTAACTCCTGCTTTATATGTCCAGATTGCCATTTCATCTCTGCAATTTCCAGCATGAATTCTGGCATTCCTCGCCTTCCATATATTGTATACTACTGCAGCCATTGTTGCAAAAAGTAGTCCTCTCTTGCATTTCATTCTTTTCCAACATTTCAATACAAAAGTTCTCCATTCTTTCTGTTCCATTACTAGCTTTTTTATGCCCAACCATTGCAGTGATTTTTCCAACAGTAAAGCAGAGAATTTACATTCAAAAAATAAATGTTCAGCCGATTCTAGAGCCTGCTGACAGAAAACACACTCAAAATCCCCAGCCAGAATATTCAACTTTCATAATCTCTCTTTGGTTAACAATCTGTTATTCCAAAATAGCCACACTATGAAGCTATGTTTTGGAACATTAACTTTAGACCATATAAACTGAGCAGCATCCAGTTTATCACACTCTCCTAACAGCCAGTTATAACCAGAGTATACTCATATACATACCTGAACTTGTGTGCCTCCATCTTTCACCATTAACTTCAGTCTTCATCAGATCCTTCAATTTCAGAATCTGCTTTCATTGCCAGCTAGCTCTCTGTTGTGGTTGCAAACCCCAAAAGTTATATTGCTTTATACACAGTTCATGGATCCACTTCACCCAAAGATTATCCTCTTTTTGTGCCAAGCTCCAAACTTGTTTCATAATGGCTGCCTGGTTCCATTTCTGTGCATCTTTG